CTACTTTTGGCATGGAATTCACATTTTGTAGCATCATTTTGAGGGTGTTTATTTCTCACATAGTCTTCCCAAATTTATTACAGAGGCTGCATTTCATGAATTTCTAGCACCATCTAACCTTGTTAAGACCCACATCACCTAGTAAATATTTATGGCTGGCAAAGAAATCTGGAGGCACAACAGATACTATTTATGTACATTATAATCTCTAAAAGTAATATGCTTATTTAAAACATTTGTGAATTAGCACCTCTCTAGAGAGCAACAGGAAAAAAGTAATTGAGTCAAGTTCAGGATAAGGTACAATTCAGTGTCCTGTCATTATCATGTGAATGTCTATGTTTTTCTAGAATAATTGAGTAAATTTAAGACCACGCAGGAACATTTAACCTTATTTCAGTTAAGCTTGGTTCCTTTTTTTTGTTCCTTCATTTTGTTTTTTTGTTTCCAAGTGTTGATAACAATGGTGGTCCTTTTTCATGAGTATAAGGCCCATCTAAGAGTGGTTTTATTTTGAGACTATTTTTGTCAACTTTTGTTAACAGAGTTCTCAAGTCACTGACATAAAAAACTGCCATATTGGCTAATAGTCTACCCTGAATCTGTAATTTAAGTGAATTTTCTGCCCCAACACAAGTTGATCCTAGCTATCATAATTACAAGTAACTTCTCATAGTTCCATTAGTATCTAATAATAGTTTTGCAATTATTTCTAACCAATCTCATTACAATTTCCATCCTGATACTACTGTTATTTTATACTTGGAAGCTTCATTACGTGGACAATTCACTCAATATTTTTTCCTTCTGTTTAAATATGCTTCTAAAAAATTCTCAATCAAATTTGTCAGGCTTGGACTGGGGATATAGTTCGGTGGCATAAGCACCTGCCTAGCAAGTGCAAAGTCCTGAGTTCGATCTCTAGTACTGGAAAAAAAAAAAAAAGGCAGAATTTAAAGTATAATCTTGTGAGAATTTATTCAGTGGTATTGTTATACCTCAAAGGATTATATCATGGGATAATTTTGAAAAGACATTTAACAATATTATGTGTTTACTTTAAAAGTATTTAAGCATGATGAAAATGATGGGAAAATAATGAGATATTAACTATTTTATATTTTATTAAGATTGGTCAAGGAATTAATGAAATATACTATAACATCAGAAAATTACTGAATAAACCTGAGAAATTAATCACTATAAATTGAAATGTTTCTTTATATTAAAAATAAATATATACAACATATTTTACTATCCTTTAGGTTCGAATGGAAGCTGTTGCTAGCTTTTCAGTGTCCCCCAAGACTCATGTGTTGCGTGTTTTATCCCAGTGCAGCGGAATTCACAGGTAGGGCTCTGGGGTTTGGGGGATCACGGGGCTCTGACTTCACCAGTGGGTCACTTCATCTATGGGTTCATAACTCGATGGCCTATTGTAATGGGTGGAGAATTTCTGTGGCGGGAGCTGTTTGGAGGAAGTTAGGCCTTTGGGGTGTGGCCTTTGGTGGCATATTTTGTCCAGCTCTGCTTCACCCCCTCTCGCTTTGTTCCTGGATAGCACGAGCTCCCTGCCCCGGCCTTCTGCCTCCCCATAGCTCCGAAGCATGCCAGCCCAGCGCAACAAACCGGAACATCTGAGACCGTGATCCAACATAAAACTTTTGTCCTCTGAGTTGATTTTGCCATATATTTTCTCACAAAGACAAAAAGTCAACTCAAAGAGAGGGCATGGGCAAGACAGTTGAAACAAAAATGGTGGATGATTATTCTAAAGCACTTGTAAAACCTTCTGTAATACTGGAAAACTGATCAAAATAAAGACCAATAATCAGAGCTTTTTAAATTCTTTAGTTACAACCTCACAAGAATGAGTTAGCAGCAGCCTAGAATTTATTTTCTACTGGCTGAAACAACTTCATAAAATACTAGAACACAAACAAAGGTAATGACAAACACTGGAGGTCATGAATGACTCCAAATCTTCCGTGTATATACCAGTACGCATTATGTCTAGTAGGGAAAAATACCACATATACCACAATGCGCATCTGGTAAATAAAACCTGAAAGTTAATCTGAAAGAACCCATTTTCCTTTCAATTTTGCTTGTATATATATTAGGGGTTACAACCTAAAGAATAATATGGCCATGCTTAATGATAAGTGATAAAGAAATGTTGCAAGTAGTTAAGCACTGGGTAGCGCTGTCATGCTAACAGAATAGTGTAATGACACAAAACTAGATTGCATAGCATGCTATACATATAGGCAGTGCATATACTACCCTACATGCCATCTGCTGTGAATTGAAGCGCTGTGAGATGTTGGCAGAGAGTGTTTGAAAAAAATATATATGTACATAAACACGAAGTATAAAAAGTAAAGCCATATTAATATGCTAAGCTGTAAAAGGCTCAAGTCAACAATGTCCTTCATAGGACATGACCAGTCCTATGGAAAACCCACTACTGTTATGGCCTACTGGACCATATTGGAATATTTTGCTGAATTCACACACCTACAGTATTTAAATGACAATGGAGTACCCTTCTCTGACAAAACTAAACAAAAAAGGGGGATACAAATGAACGACCAATTGGTATCTGTATTTTGAAAATAGGAAAGATATACAGCTGTGTTATGGTTTGTATCTAGGTGTCCCCCCAAAGCCTCCTGCAGTCATGGGGTGGCTTCTGGAGTTGGTGATTGATTACTGTGGGTGTGACTGCTGCACCTGCCCTGGGGCAGGTAAGTTGCATTACAATGTAGGGAGGGAAGAGAAGCTAGCTGCTTGAGCTGCTGCTACTTCTTTCAGTGCTTTTGCTCCTTGCTGCCACCATGAAAGGTTGCTCTCTGCCTTGTGCCGCTCTGCCTTGGAGACAGCTGAATATGAACTGAAACCTCCAGTAGCTGTGAGCTAAATAAATCTTTCCTTCCTTCATTTTGGTTGTTAAGAGAAGAATAACTGAGACAAGCTACATTCTCTTAATTCAATGAATAGAGAGATTTGTTCTAATTGTGTCTGTGGACAGGATATCATGTCTGCATCTTGTACAGTGAATAACTACTAAGACAACAATATGCAATGTATTCATTATTGAAACTGTGCTAGTAATCGGTTTTGAAACTGTCTCATTGTTATTTGTTTCTCAATAAAATTACTTTTAAAAAAAGAAAAATATATATACATGTACAAATTCTCTCTTCCCCTTCATTCCCTGGAAACTGTGAAGAATGCTTGAGCCACCAAATAGGTTATTTAAGGACAGATAAAATCCTAATTCTTTAGACCTAAAAAACCCATAGTTCTTCAGTTCTTGACTGAAGTAACACAAATATAGCTTGAAAAGTGGACACATTTTTGTGGGTGTCTACAACAAGGTTACACCATAAAGTCCATTTTCACAGCAAAACAGTGTGAATCGAGTCCTCTGGGGAAGAGGGATACTGTAGTAGTCTACTACTGATGATATAATTTATTATTATTGTATAGTATTATATGTTATTATAATATAATAAACTGGCATGCACAGAAAATTTCATGTTGGTCTCCTGAATCATTTTAGGATTGTCAATGCATGGTACTAAATAACTTGGCATTATGATAACTGAAATAACAGTTTATTCAGCTGAAGGAGAGAAAAATAATTTCTAATATTTCTATCTCAGACATAGATTATTATATCTATCTATAAACCATGTTTTATTTTTAACATAGTTTAGAATTTTTTATAGTATGCACAAAAGATAAAATGTTGAATTCTTTTTAATCCTAGATACACGTTATTAAATCCGTTTGTAAAATTGCGTTTTCAACACAGATTAGTATTTTTATAAAATACATAGAGGATAAAAGCCCAAATTCTTCAGAGATGATTTATTCATTTCTCAGCCACCAAAACTAAAGACTATCTCTGGAAATCAGTCTGGTTTTCCTGGTTTTCATTGCATTTACATCTGAAGGAAGGAAAACTAGAAACTTTCCCTTTATTTTAACCACATCTGTAGGGATGTGCTCAGTTTATCTTCTGGTAAGAAGTCTGATGCTATTTAGTTTGTCATCCAGACACTTGCTTCTTAATCTCTAGGCTTTAGAGCTTCTTGACATTTACAATCACACCAATTTAGCTACCTGATTCATGTGGTATTAATGACTAAAAAGCTTAACTCTCCTAAGTTAGAACTTATTACAGCCGAACATTTAGGAGATTCCCCTGAGTTTCAAGCGCAGGATATGCAAATACGCAAGTCATTTTCATCTAATTCTGGAGCTACCAATAATTTATAGTCTTCCTCCTTATGCTGGAAATAAGCGGTTTAAAAGAGATGAAGTATTTTGCTACTGAACTGATAGATTGCTGATTTCCTTTTTCCCCTTGCTTGTGAGTAAGCCTCAAATGAAAGGATTATTCCATTCTAGAAAGTGGTAAAAGATCCATGATACACACGTTGTATGCACACAACACAGAATTCAATTGCACACTGTGTTATTAGCAGAAGTGGCGCTGGGGTTTCCTATACAAAGACAGCACTTAGACAGAGGAAAGATTATCAGAAGCTTTGCAGTGATTAAAAAATAGATTGTTCACCATTTGTATTTAATATCACTTAATATACTTAATAATTCAAGTGTTATTACTGCTCTTAAAATAATCCTAAGTACATATGTGCATCCATATACTTTGTGAATTTCATCTATCTAATATATATACATATAAAATACAAGTAATCGAATTATTTTTACAATGATAAAGTTAAAAGTAATGACATATTTAAATATGTATTTGCACAAATATATAGAGCACATATTACATACATATTTTTAACAATACCAAACTAACAGTAATAAATGAGAAAGCGAAGCTTCATGTATCCTTCAGCAAAATATCAACGAATATTTAAGAATTAAGGAACATCGATTACATGGGTTTTATATTTCATATTGCTGTCAAACGATATAGAAAGTGAACGCTTCAGTGTGCATCATGTGTGTCCTACCTTCTCGTGGACCTTCTGGCCAGGTTCCATCCCTTCAAGATGTTCAGACTCTGTGGATCCCTCACTTGATACCATCTTTCTTTGTATATGAACATTTTGCTCTCGCAAGGCGACAATCTGCAAAATAAAAGCATTATACTTTTAAAACTAAAATGAATAAAAAGTTGAATGTGTTTGATTGCTTGTGAATGCTCACAAGTGATCAGAAAGCATTAGATTTCACTCATTTCAAAAAGTATTTGATAAACTTAAGTCAATATTTTGAATTGTAATATTAAGAATTCATATATTTCTCCTAAGAAAAGAAAGCAATGGGAAATTTACCTAAGCAATATTTTCTACTTGGAAAATGTATATTTGAAAATGTAACCAAAGCAAAGATCTGATCTGTCATTAATTATCTGTCAAAAATTATTTTTAATTTGTAAAATAATATAAAATTACTGTCTGTATTTTTAAAGTATACAAGAGAAGCAAATGGAAACCTCAAGGTTGAAGACTGATTATTATCACAATTATTTATCTTGTGGTAATAACACCTCTGGAGTTTGAAAACAAGTAGCTACATAAGCTAAACCATTAAATGATTTTATTAACTATCATGAGCATGTACCATTAAATTTATCTCATGGCTGTTATTTCAGTGTCAATTAATGTAGCATTTTTCATTCAAATATATTCAATTTCCTGAAGAAATTTTAAATTTCAGGTCAATCTTATACATGAATGTTTTGATTAAAAAACAGTTCTCATGCACTTGTAGTATACATGATTTTAGTATTATACAGAGTAGAAAACAGTATTATGCCTTTCTCAAAATGGTGTTGTAAAATATATTTACTTTGATATAGTGTTGAAAATATTTTATATTTTATTAATGCTATACCTTATTCCATGGCAAGTTTTACTGTATGATCAGTGCAGATATCAGTTATTATTAAATCAGAAAAGAAATTTGGTTTATTTATTATGCAATAACCATTGAGTCATGCAAAACTTATACAAAATTTAAGATTATTATGCTTGTGTATGAAAAAGGACCAATAATCATTAAATAATTGTTAGAAATACTGAGGGTAGATACTTGTTGTGTTGTCCTCAGAGTATCAGTGCCTCATCTACCAGGCTATGTCTATGAGATCAGATGATCTTGTATTTGACCTCTGGTGTTTGGCATACAGCACATCATTTCACAAGGGTGGCTCAACTCATGACAAAGACACCTATGCTTCTCTTACAGAACCGCAACTGCCAAATGACTGGTTTCTGCACTTTCAATCTTACATATTGACAAATTATTATGCAAGAAGTATCCAAGTTCAGGCTGGCAACATAGCTCAGCAGACTGAGCACCTGCTTAAGCGAGTGCAGGGACCAGGATTTTATTCCCACATCATTTGCCATGCAGTCCCACCCCCAGGCATGCTGAGCCCGCCTTAGAGACCCAGAATGATGGCTTATTCCTGTAATCGCAGCTCTGGGGAGGCTGAGACAGGAGAATCACTAGGAGTCTGAGTTATGTAGTGAGACCCTGTTTAAAATACATTAAAAAATACATTAAAAAAAAGAAGTAGCCAGGTTCAACTTTCTAATACAGTATATCATGTTACAGCTTGCTTTCTAAAAAAAATAAAGTACATTTTCCCAACTTATCTAGAGTAAATTTAAACTCCACACAAGGTACAAGGCATCCTACATGACCCTTTGATTCAGCCATAAAGACTGCTAGTTCATTCCTGAAATATATCCATATCATCTTACACTGAAATGAGAAATTTAATTGGCTGTTTGCCTTTTCTTCATAGTTACTGCAGTTGGCAGCTGACTATGTGCTAGCTTTCAACAATCAACTGAAATCTTCTCCTCAGAGACATGTACATTGTCATCAAATATTTTTTGCAATATAACCTTGTTAACTTTGATATTTGCATGGTATAGTAGTATCAAATATTACATTCATTATTTCTTCTCTTTGCTTGTTTATTTAGGTAGCAGAAGTACTCATAATATCTCATGGGAAAATAATTTTTAAAAGAGCACTTTATTGACATTAACATTTTCATACGAAACCACATCAAATTATTATGTGCAGCTTATACACTATTCATGTGCTGAACTAAATAATGAATAAATATGAAAAACAAAGAATATAAGCCAATTAATTCAGAAGTAACAAAATATAAAAAGTTGATGTGTATGAACAACTCCAGAGAGAGTCCTTTCTATTAGTTAACAGAGAAATGGTTTATATTTAGGGAATGATATCAGGAATGGAATTGCTCACAGAGAAATCACTTTTACGTGACATTCTCAACATGTTGAATTTTATATAATGTAATGCTACTATTCAAAGATAATGAAATTTTATTACTAATTTTTTAAAAAACTTAAAAGTACTGCTGCTCATATTCCACTAAGACAACACCCTTCATTGATAGGCTAAGATAAAATTTCTAGGACATTAAAATTTTTCTATGCATTTTCTTCTGTTATTTAATTTACTTAGAAGGGAAGCAATATAATTTTGAAAAAGTTTCCAATGCCAAATTTTACACATTGACTCTCATCTGCGTGGCAAGTCAGATGAATTTGAAATATGTTTTAAAATAAAACAGACTATCTGAAAAGGTTTACTGAATGAAACACTGAAAGTATGAATTAATGCCCTTTAAAGAAAACATTAAAACACTAAACTTATTCACAAAACACCCCACACAAATATGATTGTTCTATTATTTTGAAAATTATAAAGTTCATGTTTTTTATAAAGCATGTACATAGTAATTCCAAAAAGATAATTTTTAATCACTAGTATGCAAACTTTTTAAATGAATTATGCAAAGATAACTTCATTTTTGAAATAGGAGGATAATACACAATGTGAGTGTTATTCCGTATGTATGTTATCTCAAAGACACTAAAAACCTATTCTTAAAGGCATTTTGGAGGTTTTCAAAGCTTTCCCACCTACCAAATTCCTACAGTTCCATCACTTTGTGGAAAGAGTCCATAAACATTGTCCACACAGGGCTAACTTCTTCAGCTGAATTTCAAAGAGAGGCCTGGCTTCCCTTAGCCAAACTTCAAAAGGTGCCCCCAAGTAAATTTGGACTCATGTAGAAGACTTGCAGAAAGGGGTACACCATGGAGACTTCTCACTAAAGAAATGCTGAGTAGAAACTAGGTCATGGATACCCACGATTCCCAAGCACTTGAGAACCAACAGGGCTTAGCTCCTTCCCTTAGAGCTGTAACATATGAAAGCTGTGGCTTAAGCTGTGTTATGGCTTTTGTTGAGATGTCCCCCAAAGCCTCAAGCAGTCACAGTGGGGGCCTTTTCAGAGGTGGCTGGATCTAGAGTGTATGATTTATTCATAGTGAAATGTTAGGATCAAGGGCATTAGGATTAAGGGTGTGAGTGCTACCTGCCCTAAGTAGTCTGAGTAAGACACAAGGGACAGGAAGAGTAGGAGTTATTCCCTTGCTTGCTTTGTTATCTTTTGTCCACCATGAACTGCTTCTCTGTGATAGTTGTCTTCCATCCACCCTGCTTTGGAGCCGGCCAGCTATAGACTGAAACCTGCACAAACTGTGACCTAAATAAACCTTTCCTTTAACTTTGAATGTTGGGTATTTTTGTCCCAGCAATGAAGAAAGTAACTAAGACAGGCTGAGTCCATCAGACAGGCAAGAGGGTAGTACTTTGATGACTCAACATCTACCAGTAGGTTTCTAGAAGACAGGGTATAGAATCAGAGATTATTGTCTAGCCTGAAAATTTAATCTCATTTGCCCTTTTGGTTTTTGGATTTAGTTAAAATCTGCTACTCCTTTGTTCGGTTCCACTTGTCCCTTTGGAATGCAAATGTCTATCCTATGCCTGTAGCACTATTGTATTTTGGAAACGCATAACTAGATTTCAGAGACTCACAGATGGAGAGAGAATTTGCCTCACACATTTGAGTATCATTCACATATGATTTAGGTGATATTTGTATGATACTTCCAAGTTAGACTCTAAAGTTAATGCAAGAATGAATTAAGATTTTAGGAACAAATGTGCTTTGTATAAAATGTAGAAAGTAGGGGCTGGGGAGATGGCCCAGTGGAATAAGTGCTTCCCTGGCAAGCTCAAGGGCCTGAGTTCAATCCCTGGTTCCAGAAAAGAAAAAAAAGAGAGAAAGAAAGAAAGAAATGTAGAAGGCCATGGTGGAATGCTATGGATTAAATGGATGTGTCCCTCCAAAATTCTGATGTTGGAACCTCAGAATCAGTGTGATAATCTCCAGAGATATGGCCTATAGGAGGTGATCTATTCATAAGAACTCAGTCCTCACAGACAGGATACATATTTTTAAAAGACAGTTTAAGAGAATTAGTGCAGATAATTTTCCTTTCTATCCCTTTTGACCCTGTGAGGACCAGATATTTACAGGTGTCATCTCTGAGGCATTCTGAGCTCTAATGAACTGACACTCAACCTGGAAGAATCTTGCCTTTGGGCTTCCCAGCATTCAGAATTTAGAAAAATGAAACCTGTTGCTTATAAATCTCTCAGTTTCAGATATTTTTTATAGTAAGACAAGACCCAAGTGGAAATGAAATAGAAGTTAACCCTATATGTAAACTGTCTACTCTGTTACATTTACTTATTTGCATATAAACTACATGTAGAAGAAGCTGTGCCTTCCCAAGTAGTAAGATCCTCCCACCCTGAAATCCTTTGTTCTTCATTATGGTTGGACTCCTCTACAGACAGATTCACAAACAAGCAAATTTTCACATATATTTTTAGGGCTTTCTGTGATTAGACAATGAGCTAAAAATCTTTCTTACCAAGAGAAACTTTCCATTTAAAATCATAAGGCATGTCTTATCAGGTGTTTATTTACATTTGTTTTTAGGTGCCTAAAATTCATTCACAGCTTTTAATAATAACATCTTACATAGTAGTTGAGGAATTGTCCTTTACTATCAATAATGCCAGAGAGATTATCAATCAAGAGTTGGGAGCTCTTAGAAAACAGGTGGGCACATGATCCTAGCCACGGAAATTGCAATGTTCATTTAGATGCTACTGGTGGAGCTATGCAAGATATGTTGGTAGAATATGACTG